AAAAAAAAAAAAAAAAAAAAAAAAAAAAAAGAACTGATAGATTTTTTTTTTCAAAAATAAAACAGAAATGAATAAGCAATGAATTGACATCTTTTGCTTTAAAAAATGTCCAATTAGATAGGGCTAGGCTCTGGGCCTCCCAACCTTCATAGAACAAAGAATATCTCTTTGGGAGTCTCCCAGTCTGGAGCTAGGTTAATTTAGCATTGGGGATTTCTTCGCTGATTCTTTCCTGCCTAACCAATATTTAATACTATCACACACCACAAATGATTGCAAGAATTCAAGTCTTTTTAGGAGAAAAGATGCTCAGGTAATTTAGACATTAGAAAACAAGACCTAAGAGAAAAATGTGATGGAATTAAGACTATTTCACCCGGAGAAGAAAAAGTCTGTGTGATGGTTCACTAATTCTGGCAAGTTTATTAAAAGTTATTTTACATAGGATACTGACCATCTGGTCTCCCTTTTCTGAGCAGGGAGAGGAAATGATTTTCAACTGCATCAAGAAGGATATAGGTTGGAAAATAAGGAAGAATTTCCAGATGATTAAGGTTATTAAATGTTGGTTGCAGAGAGAGGTTACAGCTTCACCTTTTTGGAAATAATTCAAGGGACGACAACCACTCGTCCATCCAGGCTGTTTTAGGATCAGTGTGAGCGGGGAGTAGGATAAGTGAAATTATCTCTTTGTAGTGCCTTCCAGCTCTATTCGTTGTGCTAAAAGTGCCTCTTGCAGGAGTTTACATAATTTACCGACTTTCAAACATTCTACTGTCTAACTTCTATGCACTCTTCTTACGGCCAGAAAGGGGGAGACATGAAGGTGTAAACTTCCCAGGCAAAGATCTGGTTCTGGCCTTGCCTCTGTTGAAGGTGAATAACAGGACCTGCAACAGGTCACGGGGCTGTCTAAGCCCCAGGTTCCGATCCAGAACTCACCACAGGCACTGGCTGTGATTTTTATTCCTTCCACCTTTTTTTCCCTTTTATCGGGATATGAAAGCTGCTTCCCTAACTACAGGGAAGAGCTAATGGCTAAGGTTGGACAAGTCATGACACCCTGTTCCTCTGTCTACCATGATTGGTCCAGAAGTGGGCATGTGACTCAAGGTGCCAAGAAGAGCTCTTTCCCCAGAGTGCTGTACCTGAAATTGTTTGCTCTCTTTCTGGAGGCAAGTCAGCCAGTACGGGAGTCCATGGCTGCCTGAAGCCATGGCCCCATTACCTGCAGACAATTGTGAGCCTATAAACCCAAGAACCTGTGAGATGCTGGAAGGATAAAGGCACAAAAAGAACTCTCAGGCCTTCAAGTCAGCCCTCCAGCCAGCCCTCCCTTGCCAATCCTGCATATCCTTCAGTTTTATGAGTAGGTAGAATACTGTATTTCTTTTTTTTCCTTAAGCTAATATGAGTTGAGTTTCTGTCATTTGCAACCAAACGTCCTGATTAATATGGGATAGGAATGAGGTCCTAAGGTTGCAGGTGCTAGCAAGGACCAAGGCACAGGAATACAGAGGTAAGCTGTTCTGCATTAGAAAAAATGATGGCAATATCTACTTATGACTCAGGGGAAGAGAAGAGAGAAAGGGGGCAGGAAGAGGAGGGAGAAGAGGAGCTTGGAAGATGGCAGAAGGCAGGGTACTGCCCTGCATGAACCAGCAGAGGAGCCATGAGGGCTCTGAAGATCAATAGCACAGAATGCATGATTTTAGAATGTTTGCTGCATGCTGTGCATGTGACTATTCCCCATGACCTGTCATCTTTCAGAAGAGCTCCGCTCCACGGAACCAGCTTGTAATCACAGTAGTTGGAAGGTAGATGATGAATCAAGGAAAACGGCCCAGGGTCACAGTTGTCCTCTCTGTATGGCAGAGATACAGAACAATCACAAGAGGCACAGCGTGTAGAACTTTGAGGCGGGACCCACTCCAGGCACCACAGAAATCAAAACCCCTTCCTTTGAGTCCTGCAAATGGCATGGCTTACCTACTCGTGAGGAAGTCAGACTCAAAGGGAGGGATTTGATTTCCATGGGGCCTGGAATGGGTACCTGAGTCACTGTACAGTAGATGCCATGAGACCTGGAGCTCTCAGAAGACATCTGAATTACAAAGGAGTAAGTCTCATGATCAGACGAGACATTCAAATGCGGACCAGATCACCTCTTCGGGTGTTAGGGTTGCGTCTACTCTCAGAAGGGGCTGTGTAGGCAAGTAGACAACATGCTTTCCTTGATGAAATACTGCTGCGGAGTGATCCAGGATCTAGATATTAGAATCCATTTACAGTGCTTAAGTCAGGCCCTTCCCGTTTTGCATGGGTGTTTTATAACCAGTGGATGTGCGGCCACAGGGAAAGGCTTTCCCCAAGTCTCTCTGGGAGCTCATCGGGAGTCAGGGATCCAACAGGGATTGTGAACAAGACAGCATCAGTAAAGCAGACACAATTATTGCACTTAAGTTGTGGGATGGAAGGAAGTAGCTTCCAGAAGGGAATTGATCTGGACTAGAATTACTCAGAGCACCGTTTTAAGAAAGAAGCTACCTTTTTAACATGCCAAGCTTATTCTGAAACTCCTTTACCATTACATTTAACAAAAGAGATTCAGTGTGGGAGAACCTAAACTTCCATTAAGTCTCCCAAACACTCCCGATCCATATTTACTAATAATGATGATTTCCAAAAGCTCATTTCTGCAATCAAGAGCAGGCGGCACAGCAGGCCAGACGCTGTGCACGGAGCGATCTCCATGAATAATTGCCTGTCTGCATGGCTTCTTAAAGAGAAACAGCCAGCTTACCAGATGATGCCTGGGCTTGTTGTTTAACCTGAACACAGAAAGCAGAAAACCAGGCTCGAGAAAAAATGCTTTTAGACTTTCAAGTTGACATGAAACTTGGGAGCCTTAACCTCTCTACAGATGAGTTTAAATGGATCAATGGACGCCCTAAAACTTTGCATCAGACATTTTTGTATGTCTTTTCTATGTGCTTTTTTTCTAGGAAGAGGATGCATTGGGGAATATGACCACTCGAATATTTAACTACCGCTAAATACATGTTCTTTCACTAGCACTGTGCAATAGATCTTTCTGGAATGATGAAAATACTCTATATCTGCATTGTTTAAAATGGTAGTCGTTAGCTAAATGTGGCTATTGAGCTTATGAAAGGTGACCAGTGCAACTGATGAACCAAATTTTATTTTATTCATTTTAATTAATTTACATTTTAAAAGGCAAAACTATAGGGATAAAGAGTAGATTGAGTGGCTGCCAGGAGTTGGGGGTTGACAGAAGGCTGACTACAAAGGAATGGGGGAATATTTTGGTGGGATGGAACTTTTCTGCATCTCTATTATGGTGCTGGGGACCTGACTCCACGTACGTGTCAGAGTCAGTGGAAATGTACACCAAGAAGAGTGAATATTCTAATCTGAAAATTGAACATTTAAAATGTTTTTCAGACAGGGTCTC